ACCTTTTGTCATACCATATTCTTTGGTGGGATTGTCGATGAAGCAAACGTATATTTGCTATAACAATCGACTACGTAACTTGTTTTTCATATTTGAGTAGAGTTTTGAGACTACCAGTAAATCAGTAATATGGGATGTAGGGTGATGAGGAACTGGTATTAGAATTTTGCCACAATTATATGAGTAGAGCTGACGTTTGGGAAAGCAAGGATGAATACATCTCATATTTGCATACCTTAGCATGGAGCATAGAATGAGGCTACTAAATTCTTCACGGATTGCTAGTTGTAATTTTCATGTCTAGTCTTAACCTCTTCTGGTTTTAATCTTACCTTTTGAATCTAAATTCCTTTATAAAACGTTGCCTAAAATTAGGAGTCCATCAACCAATAGTCTATGACAATTTACAATTTGGAAAGCTTTTCAACAAACGATTCAGACCCTCTTACTCCTATGCTCTTCACTTTTCGGTCATAGCATTAATAATGCCATCTGGATTAGAGTGAATTTACTTGATTTATTTTAAATAAAAAAAATACATAGTGAGGATACATTTTCCAAATATTTTTAATGATTTTATTAGGTTAAGCAAATTCATAGTTTATTAGATTTTTGATTCAAACTAAAGAGTTATGCATTACGTATTTTCTTATTTTTATGGAATACGCAATGTATATCCTTATTACCTTTTTTAACCTTTATTTTTAACTTGTACTCAGTCTTATTTTGTCGTCCTTGACTATAATTTTAATAGCCTGCTTAAGTTGACTACATTGGAATGTGAATTTATATAATCGACTAAGTCTATGCAAGCATTCGACAAGCAAACGAATTAGATGCTTTAATATTTGCGTTCGCTGCAATAGTACTGCTCTTTCCTTTACTATTTGCCTACTGAGTCTTCTGAATTACAAGCTACGTAGCCTTAAAGTTATTTTATTATTTTGTCTTCTCGTTTTATTTTAGCACTAATCTCCTGACTGGCTTGTCTGGTTCTGGTCGTCGAGATATAGTCTACAAGGTGCTTAATTTTCCCGATTGTAATAGTAATAATATTACATTTGATTTTCTCTTATCTCATTTTTCATGATTTGAAATTGAGCCTGAGATGAGCATACGCTTTAAGGATAGATTCGGAGGATTGACACTAACGCTTGTCTATTAAGCTTAATTCTTTATCATCCCGTATTCTGCACCAATCTGTGTGTTTCTAGTATACTCTTTTTTGGATCAGTCTAACTTATTACGCTTTTATTATATATTTAAATATTCTGTTAAGTTTTAGTATCAAATTAGAGTTTTTATTGTAGTTTAACTTCCCCCAATTTAGTATCCTTATGTTGGATAGAATTTCTTATCTGAAATTGTTGTATGCCCTTTTCTCTTATTTTCTT